ACAACCTGACTCTGCCTCCAGCCAACTGTGGCCACGCCCGGCTCCCTGGGACTCTGCCTCTCCATCTGTAAGATGGGGCTCAAGATCATGGCCCAGGACAGAAGCTGGTTGGGCCTGTCCACACACTGTGCAGAGGTCAGAGGTCAGCACCCTAAAGCTGCCAGCCTGGTGACCCTGCTCCTTGCTTTCCCCACCTGTGAGATGAGGGAAGTATCTGGATGCCCACAGAGTCACTGAGAGAATGAGTTCTGGGGCAGCTGGAACCATCCCATGTGCGGAGTACGTCTGTTATACAGGTCACACGATAGTGGCCCCTGGACCCGCCTGGGAAGCTGGCAAGCCTAGGTGGACACCTAGGCTGACTGTCACAGGGGGGTTTGGTCAGAGGGCACTGTGCAGCTGGCGCATCACTGCACCGGGATGGCGGCAGGACTGGGCACAGGAAGGCCCAGCTATCCTCGTGGCGGGGTGTCTGCCGGGGGACCCTGCACGACCCACACAGCCACATCACACCAAGGCAGGTGCAGGGCGGCACTTAGCAGGGACGCCTGGCGCTGTGTTCTCCTAGTCCAGGAAGCAGCTTGGCACAGCAGCCTGGCAAAGGCCACAAGACCAGGACCAGCAGAAGAGTGATGGAAGCAGGGTACAGAAGGGGCTGGCGGTGGCAGGGATGCTGCCTGGGGGCAGTGGGGACCTGTGGGGCAACAGGCAGGGCCCGGAGAGAAAGAGGCAGCTGTGAGTGTGTGGGTGTGGGGAGGGGCAGGTTTCCTCCCGAGGCCCCACCAAACCTGCTCTCGTGTGGGCCTGGCTGAGCTCATTTCCTGACGCCCAAAGCCAGGAGTCAGCAGGTCACCGGGGCTCTCCTGACAGCCCATGCAGGCCCTTCTGGAAGAGGAAAAGAGCAGCACCAGGCTGGCTGGGTAAGTGCCTGCACTGGCTGTTCTGGGCCAGGGGGCCTGGCCAGCAGTGAGGCCGAGACACCTCGGAGGTCAAATCCACACCCCCAGTGGCCCCTCCTCCCATCCCAAGCAGGGTAATCCGGTGGGAGGAAATGAAATCATGCACTCTGGCTCCACACAGCCGAGGATGGCCCGCCTCCCTGATCCAAGCCAGCCCCCGCCAGGCCCACAGGCCTCGATGACCTCTGACCCCAAACCAGGGGAGGTGACTGCTCCCCACTGCTACCAGGCCCTGAGCTCTGTCCCAAATCTCCGCAGAGTCCCCTCCAAGTCCTGTGGGATCCCGACTGCCCCATACCCTCGACTGTGGAACTCTGTGCTGGCCACCACTCAGAACGGTCTGTCCATCTGGTCACCTGTCACTGCCACCCCCCCCCACCTCGCCCGCCGCCTCCCCGCTCCGGTGAACAGAGGGCAGAGAGTAGGTCTCCCTGTGGCCCAGAGCAAGCAAGGCCCCTTCCCCTCCTGATGAGAACCCAGAGGTCCCAGTCTGGAGGACAGCAGCACAGCCCTCTACCTCCCTGCCCTCCCGTCTCTGCCGGGCTCGCTGGTTACCTCCTTCAGCTCCTGCGCCACGGACGCCAGGCGCTCGCTCTCCGACTGAGTGTTGGTGAGCACGTTCCGCAGCTGCTTCAGCTCCGTCTGCAGCTCCAGCACCTTGCGCACATAGTACTGCTCCTTGGAGGCCGACTCCTGGATCAGACTCTCCTCCCGGCTCTCGCCGTCCGCGGCTACCTTCTTGTGGTTCGTGTGCGCCTGTCCAAATGCCTGCACAGAGACCAGATGCTCATAAAAGGGAGGCCAATGCCAGCTAGCCCTGCAGCCAGACACCCCGGTGTGCACACGCCGGACATCGGGGAAGGACACGATCAGACACAGTGGAAGCTGGACAGGGGCTGCTGGACACCCAAGGGCTACACGGGGCTGCAGGGCTACTGGTCAGGTGGGGACCGGGCAGGGAGGAGCTAGGTGGGGGCTGATGGCCAAGTGGGGCCAGACTAGGGAAGGACCCGGGCCCAGTCGGGGGACTGGCTGGGGGCTCAGTGAGACAAGGTGGGGATGGGAACCCAGCCCCACTCTGTGCAGCAGTCTCCCTCAGAAGTCAGGCTGCTGACCCAGGGGCCAGGCAGAGAGATCCTGCCCTAGGCAGGTCTGGGGTCCACGCAGCGCTGCTCTGCCCTACTCTGACCCCTCTGTTTACCCATCCTGGGAGGGTGGGGCCCAGGCAGAGTGGTGGGACAGGAGCGTGAACCAGGATATTCAGAACCGGTGGACAGACCAGTACGTGTGCCCCAGTTGGGAGACCCCACCTGCCCGCCCAGAGCATGGGTGGAAAGGCAGCTCAAAGTACCAGAGGGGAGAGAACACTGCCATTCCCATCCCCAGACCTAGGCAAGGAGGCTCTGCGCCCAGGCTCAGGGAGGAGCCCCCATGGGTGAGTGCAACCTGCCGTGGCCACAGCTGCGAGGACGTGATCCCTGCGTGTCCTCTCTGGTGGCCCCTTTCCCACTGGCCACCCCATGCAGAATCTTTGCAGGGCTCCTGGCTCGAGGAAGAAAAACAAAATCCATGGAGGGCTGCTGAGGAAGAAGGAAGTTGATGTCTCTGTTTCTTGAGAGAAACGGGGGCATTTTCACTTATTTGCTATTCTATACGAGGTATAGGAATTCTGTCCAAGAAAACAATTGGGGAAATATGTATAAGGAAAAGGGTGTTACTGAGCAAGACCGGTTCTGATCTAAAAACTGAAAATGTAAGAGCTGACAGGGGATGGGCTAGACGAGGGGGGGACTGGTTGGGAGAACAGCTCTCCTTCCAGAGGACGGGGTCTTGCTCATCTGTCCCCAGCCACCAACACAGACTGCTCTGGCAAGAGGCGTGTCTTTTCAAACCAAATCAGCTCAGCTCTGTCCTTTCTGATGCTGTCCTCCTGCAGTCCAGTTCCCGGGAAAGAGGAGACAAATCACAGATTCTTGTCCATCCCGGGTGGACAGGACATGGCCCATCCCGGGTGGCAGTCCCAACCCCCAGCCACACAGCCGTCCTGGGTGTGCCAGAACCTGCCAGGCTTCTCACAGGGCAGGTGCCCTGGAAAGCACCTGGAAAGTCCAGGAAAGAGCTGAGGGGTCTCTCCAACTTCCAGACAAGCCTAAGGGGGTGACCTGGGCAGAACACTCGTGACCCTCAAGCCGGAGCGTGGACATCTCACCAGGCGTTGAAGCGACCTCAGAGGCCGTCCCGAGGCAAGACGGCTACGTGCTATGACACACACAGGCGTGAGCACACTCACGTCCAGGCCTGCCGGCCTTGGCCCAAATGTTCGCCTCTGTCTAGCCCTCACCCTGCCCACGAGCACAGAGGTGGCTTTTCAGAGACAACAGGGCTGGAGGCTTACACCTCCTGCTGAGCTAGTAAGACAGTAACAGGACTGGATCTGGCTCCCATGTGCAAAAGCTACAATAACTGAGATCTTTACGTGACTAAGCAATAATTTTCAAGTCACTGGACATCAGGCAGCGAGACACAGGTGATCTCCATGAACAACGAGGCATGGGACACACAGGAACAACAGCACTATCTCCCAGCTCTGAGAAACTGGCAGCGAGAGGGAAGGGAAACTGGTCCATGGCGATGAGAGTCAGACTGTCGCCTGGCAGACTGATTTCTACAGGCTCAGGAAGCAGACCAAACACTGTGGAGCAGGGACTCAGAAGACGCAGAGGATGGAATTACAAAGCGTGACGTTAAGGGGGCACTGGATGGGATCACCAGCAGAAGATTAGGAAACGTGAATAAACAGCAATGAAACACACAGAAAAAGAAAAACTAAAAAAATAAAGAGCACATGAGTGAGCGGGGGGACAACTTCAAGGAGCTTCACACACTGGCAACTAGAGTCCCCAGGGGACAGAAAGGGGTGAGGATAAAAGTACCTGAAACAAAATAATGGCTGAAAAATTCCCAAATCTGATAGAAACTACAAATCTACAGACAGTAGCAGCCCACTGCCCCTGAGCACAAGCGAAGTGAAAAAAGCTACACCGAAGCACATCACAAAACTCTTCAAAGCTAGCAGTGCAGAGAAAACACTAAAATCACCTGGAGGGAGAAGACGCGCTTCAGCTCATAAAGAAGCACAAGATGACAACAGATTTCTCTGACAAGCTGGGAGATGGAGGAACATCTCGACAGAACAAAACGAAACAAACCTATTAACAAAGAGCTACACCCAGTGGAAACTTCACAAACAGAGGTGAAATGAGACTTCAGACAGACAAGTGCTGAATTTATCACCAGCAGACTTGCATTACAAAGACGTTAAATTAAATCCTTCAGGCAGAAGAAAAACAATTCCAGATGGAAATCTAGATTTAGGAGAAGGAAGTGCAAGTGCCAGAAATGATAAGTCTGGAATAAATACAAAAGGTTTGCCTTATTATTTAAGTCCCTTTAAAAGACCATTAACTGGAGACTCAATGCAACCCCTATCAAGATTCCAATGGCCTTTTTTGCAGAAATGGAAATTCATATGAGATTGCAAGGGGCCCAGAATAGCTAAAACAATACTGAAAACAAAGCAGGAAGACTCAAATTCCCTATTTCAAAACTTAATATAATGCTACAGTGATCAAGAGAGCGTGGTACTGGCATAAGATAGACAACACAGACCAATGGAACAGAAGAGTCCAGAAATGAACCCTCGCATATGTGGTCAATTGATTTTTGACAAATGTACAGAGATAATTCAGTGATGAAAGAATTGTTTTCCAACCAAATGGTGCTGGGACAAATGGACATCCACATGCAAAGAATGAAGCTGAACCCCCACCTCACATCATATACACAATTAACTCAACATGGATCAGAGACCTAAATGTAAGAACTCAAACTACAACTCTCAGAAGAAAAAACAGGGATAAATCTTCATGACCTTGTTGGCAACAGGTTCTTAACCTGTGACACCATAAGCATGAGCAAAAACAACAAAAACCAGATAAATTGGACTTCGTAAAAATTAAAACATTTGTGTATCAAAGAACGCCACCAAGTGAAAAGACAACCTACGTGACAGGAGAAAATACTTTGAAATCTTGTATCTGATAGGCTGTAATGTCTAGAATGTATAAAGAACTCCTGTAACTCAACAATAAGAAGACAAACAACCCAATTTAAAAATGGACAAAGGGTCTGAACAGACATTTCTCCAAAGAAAATAAACAAGCAACCAGCAAGTTCATGAGAAGATGCTTCACGCCAGTAGACATGAGGGAAATGGAGTCAAAACCACAAGGAGATAGCACCTCACACCCACTAGGATAGCTGTAATAATAAAAACAAGGGGATGGGGGGAACAAGTGTTAGCAAAAATATGAAAACATCGGACCCCTCATGCATTGCTGGAGGGAATATAAACTGGTGCGGCTGTGGAAAACAGCCTGGCAGATCCTTGAAAAGTTAAACATGGAGTGCCATATGGTCCCGCAATTCCACTCCTGGGTACAGACCCAAGAAAAATGAAAAATACATCCACACCACAACTTGAACACTAATTTTTGTAATAGCCAAAAAGTGGAAACAACCCAAATGTCCACCAATTGATAAATGGATAAATAAAATGTGGTCTACCTACACAATGAAGTGCTACTTGGTAATAAAAAGAAATGAATTACTGACATGTGGTATAATACACATGGACCTTAAAATATTCTGCTTCATGAAAAAAGCCAGTCACAAAGGACCACATATTGTAGGATTCCCTTTACATGAGATGTCTCAGCGGGCAAATCTATAGAAGACTGCAAGCGGACAGGCAGTCACCCAGGGCTGGGGGTGGGGCTGGGAGGCCAGAGGGGTGATGGCTAAGGTTCCTGGTACCTTTTTGGGCTAGTGAAGATGTTCTAAAATTGGTTTTATATAGATCCACAAGTCTATGAAAACACTAGAAGCCACTGAACTGTACATTTTTAAGTAATCTCTACACCCAACATGGGGCTCAAATCCACAACCCTGAGATCAAGAGTGACAAGGTCCACTGACTGAACCAGCCCAGAGTCCCTGAACTGTACAATTTAAATGAGTTAATTTCATGGTATGTGAATTATACAAATAAATAAAGCTGTTAAAATAAACTTGTTTACAAAAGTTAGAGGCTAGAAAAAGATAAACTATGCTAATAGTCATCAAAAGAAAGCTGGAATGCTCCATTAATATTAGATAAAGTAGATTTCACTGCAAAGAATATTACCAGGAACAGAGGGTCGTTTCACAATAATGAGGTTACTTTTCAAAGAAAACATAATTCCAAATATATACATCTAATAACAGAGCCTCAAAATATATGAAGTAAAAACTGATAGAACTACAAGAATAAACAAATCCTAATTTATAGCTGGAAGACTCCAAGGCTGTCTCTCAGTGATTCACACACTCAGAAGACAGAGCATCGGCATGGACACAGAAGACACAGACAACACTACGGACTAGCCTGACCCAATGGACGTGTGTGGGACCCCACCCAAAAGCAGCAGCACACACGTTCTTTTCAGGGAGACATGGAAGGGACACTTAGCCAGACAGACCATATTCTGGGCCATACAAAGTAAATGCTCTGCCCACAGGGAATTACATGAGAAATCAGTAATAGAAAGATATGTTTAGAAAATCTCTAAATATTTGGCAACTAAATAACACACTTCTAAATAATGCATGGGTCAAAGATGAAATCAGAAAGGAAATACTTTCTAAGTATTTTTTTAGCCGAATAAAAG